TTTGACATGAATATCTTAGCATCTGTTGATGGTTTAGCCATATTGTTGGCTATGTCTAAATATTTTAGTCCTATTCTTTTTGCAAGCTATGTTGAGTAGATAGAATACTTACATGCTTATTTATTAGTCAGTTATACTTAAGAGTGTTAGCAGAAGCAATCAGCATGAATGTGTTTTTAGCTATACTTCTGACAATCTTTCTCAAGATGGAAGCATCTGTTAGATGCAGTTGAGGGGGAAAATGTTTCCTTCCTGATTTTTTTTTTTTTTTTTTTTAATTTAAGCAGTGATTTTTTTTCTTCTTTTTACATGGTAGATGTAGACACAGGATTTTACTTTGTGTGTCTCCAACTGCAGAATAAATGCTGTCCTCACTCAGGTTATTAATGTTCTTGAAAATTACCAAGTCGTTTCTGTGCAAGCAAAATGCTATAGAAGTTCTTATTCACTAGTGTCCTGATGGTAGCACGCTAGAAGTGTGAAAAATAGGCTTTTTTCACCAAAGTCGGCAATACTATAGAGTGATCTAAATGAAATCTTATGTGGTGTTTGTATTTTCCAGTTTCCCTTCAAAGTAAATATCACTATTAAAGCAGTGAATGATTTCTGACAAGTGAGAATAAATGAGACGTTAGTCAATAGCCAGCGTAACTCCTTTTTCATGAATGAAGATATGAATGATGCCTCGAGGATGTAGTTTGCATTAGAATATAGTAGAAAAGCAGTGGCCAATAGAATACTGCACTGAAATGCATTAGTAGTCATACTTTTTGCTAATGCTAGGATGATTTGTGATGAATGATCTGTTGTATCACACTTCTAATCTGTCAGATCCCAGCCTATTGCCTTCCATTTAAGATTCAGTGTGGTCTTGCAGAGGGAGACTGAGCATGGGAGAATTAAGGTTGTCTGTGTTGTGCAGCTGAAGGGTTTTGGGGAAAAAAAAAAAAAAAAAATTCCATATCAAGGAAGCAAAAAACTTTATAGGCCCTTTGCGCTTAGCTGTTTTGGAAAGATATATAGATATTACTTAAATGGATGAATCAGTGTGTATCTTAAAAGTAAACAACCCTTACCTACATTTTTGAGAAAGAAAATTGGAACTACAAAAACTCTTCATTTGTACAGTACTGCAAAAACTGTAGATTCCTCATCGTTGGTGAATTGTTGTACTATCACAAGAACACAGAGCAAAGAAGCTTGTCTAAAGTCAAATACTGCATTTAGAAAATAAGGCACCGAGAACATGGATACGATTCATTGTTCTGATTTCCCATTTGACAAAATGGTAGCAATTTTGTTCCTCTGTTTTCCATTTGTAATTTATAGAGAATTAAACTAAACTTTAAAGGGACACTGAAGATAAAGCTAATTACGTTTTTGGACAGCGGGTAGTATGGTGATGGCAGTATCACTGCAATGAATATTGCCTTTTTTTCCCTCATAATTGTTTTTCCAGTTACATTTTTAGAATTCGCTGTGATTATGTGATTCATTACAGTTCTAACCTTTGACTTTCTGATTTAAAAAGTTCTGTATTATTAAACAGACTTGCATGACTGCTAAGGACTGGCCAGCATGCCAGAATCATAGAATCACTCAGGTTGGAAAAGACCTTAAAGATCATTGAGTCCAACCACATACTACCTTAACTCAAACAACCCTTTGCTAAATCATGTCCCTGAGCACCACATCCAAACGTTTTTTAAACACATTCAGGGATGGTGACTCAACTACCTCCCTGGGGAGCCTATTCCAGTGCTGCGGGACTAATCCAGTTAAGGGATTCTGTGTCCTTTTTGGGTGAAGTTTTTCTGGCATGGAGGACTTTGACTTTCAGTGGAGTGTTGAGCAGAGATACAGTGGCTAAATCTCCACATGGTGTGCTGGTAATATTCTTCCTGAAGTCATCTTATCTGTTCCTTTACCTGTTTTGAGTTCTCCTCTTGGTGATGACGGGGGGAAGGAATGTACATGACCTACAGTACAGGCCCATCTGTGAATACCAGATGGCATCTATAGTAGTTTTTCCAGTAATTTGGTTATTTTCATTTCAATTTCTTGTAAACTGCCTAGGAAAACTCATGCACTGAAAAAAGAATATTGGAAGTACTGGCCTTTATTGATGATGTGGCATTTTCTGTTTTCTTACCACTGCAGCCTAACCTCATTTCTGTAATGCCAATGAATGCTGAGCTTGAAATAATGTGAAATTCTAAAAGCACAGAGAGGATATCTGTATCTGAAATGGTGTGTGGGAGCCATGTTTAGCCATGTTTGAAGGAGTTTGCTTTCCAGCAGTTTAAAGATAATCAGGGTGCTGAGCAAGAATCAAAGCGAGTATATGTAAAGAGGCATTCATTCACATTGTCTTCACCGAGCTTCATTTTTTTGGTAACCTTTACTGTAATTGTACCTCTCAGCAGTATATCTTAATGTTGGAGCATTCACTATGCTAAAGTATAAAGTCCTGCTTTTTAATCTTTAAACATGTGCTATCCATATGAATAATATGACTAGTGAAGATCTGAATGAACCTATGCTGTTCTATGCACTGCATTCCTGTGAAACAGGAGTAGATATGCAAAACAGTGGGCTATTTGTAATGTTTTTTTTTTTGCACTAAGTTTAATTGACATCTGTGTCACAGCCAGCAATATTTGTTTCCCCAAGGTGCGTGTGCATGTGTATTCATGTTTGCAGTTGTTTGAGTTATGACTAAGTTTATCCATCTAGCTTAAATCAATCCATGCTTTCAGTGTGGTCCTTTCTTTTACTATAATACCATACACCTATCTGCATAAAAAACATAGAAGTGTGTTTCAGGTGGGCTTCCCCCTAGAAATAAGATTATACCATCAAAAGTGCATCTTGTCCATAGAAATGCATCAGCAGGTTTGGGCATTTCATAACCACTATTCTGTCAGATCATTTTGTGATAGCTGTGTAATGTTTACTTGAAGACATTAAAATGTATTCAAATTTTTTTGCAAGTACTGCTTCTGATCTAGCAAGTCCCACGTGTTCCGTGTTGACCTCTGCAACAGATATTGCAATTTCTTTTTGGTAGTTTCTATTCATTTACCTCTTCTTCTCATAAGACTGTAGCTCTGGAATGATAGCTTTGCTAATGATTTCAAATATTTTCTCCACTTCGTAGTATTGTCTAGCTTCTTTTTCACTTCTCATAAACTTTTATTAAGTAAGATTAAAAGCACCTTAATATGTCACTTATAAACCAATTTATTTGCCAAAAGCATCACCTCAGATGATGTCTTTTTTCAGTTATAAATAACATTAAGATCAATATCACTTCAAGTTGTTAGAGTCTTCTTGGATGCTCATGAGGCTGAGTTGTAATTGTAGACAGTTCAGGATTTTGAGTCTGATGTTATGTTGGATTTTGTGCTATTTCTGGTAGCATCCAAGGTAGGATTATTTTAAGCCTGATGATATGTTGAGTTTATATTGTTTCTGGTTGTGTCTGAGGTAGGCATATGACAAATTACAATTGACATCCAATGAAGCTGTTCCTTCTGCAATCACAAAAGTTTTAGTGAGCTATTATACATTCATTTTTTTGCATTTTAGTTCATTTTTCACTGATTCAGCTCAGTACAGAAACTCTATAAAAAGCTTAATTTTATTGTATTGAAATTTTAGCCTAAACCCTAGAGCAAGGAACCAAATCATACACACAGTACAATTGGAGATCTGAATTAAGAGATCTGTTTACTTATAAATACGATGCTTTGCTAATTATTTGCAGTTAACAGGTAGTAGTTACAGGAATTTGGATAGTACATTACTTTATAATATAGCAAAAAGAAAACTAGTCTGGTTGTAGATATTAAGGACATTATTTAAGCTTCTGATTTTTGCCTTTTCTGAAATACCTGGAAAGCCACACAATTTGTCTTGTAAATCTTCCATAGTCTAAGAATTGTGATCCACTTCAAACTGTTGCTTCTCTATGCTACTTTTAAGTAATAGCAATTCTAAATTCTAAATAGAATTCTAAAATCTAAATAGAAAGACCTCTTCTAGCTTATTGTAATAATAATTTACAAGGGCCTTTTTTGGTTTTAACTTTTTTTTTTTTTCTTCAATTTGCTATTTTGCACTGCTCACCAGACTTTGCAGTTCAGATGAAAAGAGTCTTTGATAGTCTGTGCTTCACTAGGAATGCAAGAGAAAATGCATTTCATCTTCTGGTCTGACAAATTGATTTTTTTTTCTGCAGAGTATTGCTTGATCTTAAAGCTTGAAAGTGATGTATTAATGTCTCAGATCTATTTCCATTCATCGTTCTTAAAATGGAATTTGCGAGTTCTGAATTTTGTCTGTTTTGGAATCTTTTTGAAGGAAAAGAGATTTTTTTTTTTTAATAAACATAAAGTTAAGGAAAATGTTGTGTATATTATTTCATTATTGGCTTCAGACATACTTCCCTAAGGGAAGATATTGTCTTTCACTTAGAATTGCTTTTCCAGTTGCAGAATTCAGTTGCAGTATTACATGAAGTTTTTCTTCAGTATGTTTAATTTCTATTTTTTTTATTATATGGAAGTACATGTATGATTGAAAACTAAGCTGTACATTCTTGATTTTAAGTATGTACTCAACTGCGATGCTCATCAATACAAATATCTTCCAAAAAATTTCCTGATTTTTTGCAAGCACCAATCTAGTGGAAGAATTGATGCATTTACATCTGCAAGCTAGATTGTTTAAGAACTTTATTTTTCAAGTTAAGACAATTATATTTTATTCTGTTGAATGACCTCACTGGGGAAAAATATGTTTAGGGAGTTACGAGGACTGCTCCAAAAGTAATACCACCTATTTTATTATGTTGGTCTGTGGTGTCAGAGGTGGATAATGGTGGTATGGCAGTAGAGGTTGAATCTTCCCATCAGTAGTCTATTCCTTTTGTTGCTATGTGACGGATGGCAGCAGAGAAGAGTATGACTCAATGGTGTCTTATATGGTACAAATAGGGAACAAATGTGTGCCACTGGATTCCTCCATGCAGAAGAAATGGCACCCACTGATGTTCATCAGTGTATGCTGAACATTTCTGGAGATCAAAGAGTGGAAGTGCGCACAATGGGTCAATGGGTGCTGTGTTTCAGCAGTGGCAGCAGTGAGAAAGATAAGCCGTGTTTTGGATGGCTGTGTCACACTACTAAATGGAGAGCTATCAGCTTATCCATGCAAATCTGCTAATGGCGGTGACTGTGCTGAAAATATTTTGTAGCTGAGAATTTGTTCTATCAAATACTGTTATTGTACTCTTGTCTGTTGTAGTTTCCATGAAAATATGTATGAAGCATTACTTCTGGAGTTACCTATGTGTATTACTAAAAAATCTTTGGCTTTTGTATTGCAGATTTGAGGGATTAAATACACAAACTTGTTATTAATGTTACTTGCAGTTGTCATAAAAATCTTGACAGTTGTGTTTGTGAGGCGCTTAAGTTTCAAAATTGTATTCACAAGTGCATATCTATCATGTGACTGTATAACCATTTTTCAATCGCCATTTGAATTTTTGGTTACTATAAGCCTTGAAATATAGTACATACTACCCATTGATACTTGTCTGAACAAGCATTTCTGTAATTCTGCAAAAAAAAAAAGGGGTCTGTGTAAGCTCATAGACTAATGTATGCTTTAAAGAAATCTACACAGCAGTATTTCAGTTGCAGAATAAAAAGTGAAAACAGTTTTAAATGGATGGTCAGAAGCACAAGATCTTAGTACAATGGTCAAGTCTTAGAACTGCTAGAAAGTTTTTGGCAGTTTACATTTTGACTGTATGCTAAACTACAGTAGTAGTTTTCCTGACTGCATAGTCATGGCTATCTGAAGTTTGGTAAGATTGGCCTTTCTTTTGGTCAGTGCAGGTCATCTGAAGCAACTAGCAACAAGGCTGGTTCTCTGAGTCTTAGTGGAAGAAAAACTTCAGTGTTGCAGAGTATTTAGGATGCAAAAACAGCGCATCCATTCATTAGTAAGATACTTGACTATGTATTTTCAGAACCTTTCTGTAGTTCAAGGAAGGCAAATTGTATGTAATTTGTCTTTGATACAGCAGCTAGTGCTGGGTGGCATGACTTTTGCATGATACCTCTTGCATTTCACAGCATTATTCCAAGGAGACAAATACATGGAAAGGTTTTCTAGTGGGTAAAACAACTGAAAGTGTGTATTTGAGCTTAAATAGTTTCCTTCTAAAATAATTTTAGTGTTCAAGGCAATGGTGAAACTGAGTGCATCAGCAGCAGATGTTTTGTATTTGTCTAAGAAAAAAAACAAGCTGCTCATGAAATTTGCTGAAAAGATTTTAAGAAATAATACTATTGTTTTTATTTTTACTCAGGAGAGTTCTTCATGCACCTGCCTAGCTCTATAATCAATTTTTTTTTCTATCTATTAATTGTCTGTGTTTTGTAAGCTAAAAAATATAAATGTAATTCTAAATCAATTATTTAGTTTTCAAATAGACTTTTGAAAAGAATTTTGCTTTTTTCTTATTGGATATAAAACCAATTTTGTTGTTAGTGATTTTCATTAATGCTACTTTGCATGCAGTAGCATTTGCCATTTGATGACTTTCTTTCAGGAATACTTGGTGGTTAATGCCATTCTAATTTATCCGTATAATGATCTTAGACTGTTTTAATATATAAACTACTTGCTTTGCCACTGATAAGTATCTATTGGCTCAACTGCTTATCTGCACATTACTCTATCGATCTCTCTGTTTATCTGGTATCTTCTACTCTTCTATTTGAGTCAATTTATTCCAAGGACACAGAGTACTTTTCAAGCCATTTGAGCACACAGCAGGAAGATTATTCAGATGGTAGTTTTATCATTGAGTTTTACAAGAGTTTGTGATTGCACAATTAAAATCTAGCTGCAGGTAAAGGGATGTGTTTGAAGAGATGAACTTTATGTTTGAAGTGACAGTAAACGAATAAGCAGTTTCCATTGTCTGTTTCTGAAAATATCTCTGGCTATGCTGTTATTTTTTTAAACAGCAAATGATTGTGGGAATAATTCTTTTTGTGTATTGCTTTTGGATTTTGGGAGATGACTAGCTTTCCTAGGCTTGTGGTCTCTTCACAGGTAGTCTTATGGAATGTCAAGTGGAGATGAAAATCCAGGCCCTTCTGAAATTAAGGTTGTTCTCTATGATGTCTTACCTTAACATTCAATTTTCAAAGGGTTTCTGTAGGAGCTACCCTCAGCCTTTGGTTTGCTGTATCATAGTTCTCCTTTTCTTGCAATGTTGTGCAACCTCATCTGTAGTGTTTCCCACTTATCATTCCTTCAGAATTCTGGTTTTCTGTTTTGTAGTAACTTGTCAAACTGCTTTACACCTTTGTCAGTTATACAGACATAATTCTATATGACAAAGCTGAATGAGCTTCTCAAAAGCAGCTAAAATGCTGTGAAAATTGAAAGAATTTGGTATCTGTGTTGGATCGGAGGTACACTGCTGAAGGGCTGATGGTATTGAAAACTTGGAATTAGTGCTTCAGCCAACCTGCCTGCATTGTGCCCATGTGCAAGAGGACAGTAAAATGCTTTTTAATTAAATGGTTTAGTTTGCAGGCCTAAAGATAACATGGAACTCCAATTTCTGTGATACTACTGGAAAAGTTTAAGCTATTGCTAATTTTCTGGATAGTTACATAATTTTTATCTCTATTCATCTTTTTCTAAAAACCAAAACTCTTGGCCTTAGGATCTTGTGCCTTTCCGTAAAGCATAATATTCTTGTTCTCGCCTAATCCTTCCCTGTGCTTTGTTTTCCTGTTTTTTAAAAATCTTACTCTATCTTGCCATACTCCAAACAGATCTGTTCAGTAAAGAAGTCTTACGTCTGAATTTCTCAATATTTGAGTAGAGTTATTCTAAGTCAACTTGTAAATAGTAATATATTCCAGTCCTCTTTGAAATAGAAAGTGTTCACTCCTGATGCAAAGCTTTGCATGCATATGCAGAACTGGAGAACAGATAACCTTCCTGAAATATGAAAGTGGCTGAAGACACAAAGTGACTTGATAGGAATACTGTGAATAAGGAATAAGGTGTGAAGATGGCTGATTGTAACCAAAACAGTAGAAATATGCTGTTTGATATCGACACACTCATAGAATCATAGAATCACAAGGTTGGAAATGACCTATAAGATCATCTAGTCCAATCATCTCCTCATCACCATTGCCACCACAAGCTACTAAACCACATCACACAGCACGTCGTCCAGATGCCTCTTGAACACTGCCAGGGATGGCGACTCCACCATCTCCCTGGGCAGCCATTCCAGTGCCTGCCCACTCTCTGAGAGAAATACTTCTTCCTTATGTCTAATCTAAACCTCCTCTGGTACAACTTGTGGCCATTTCCCCATGTCCTGCTTGTTGCCTAGGAGAAGAGGCCAAATCCCTCTTCACCAAAGCCTCCCTTCAGGAAGTTGTAGAGTGCAATGAGGTCTCCCCTGAGCCTCCTCTTCTCCAGACTGAACAATCCCAGCTCCCTCGGCTGCTCCTCATAAGTCTTGTGCTCCAGACCTCTCACCAGTTTCATTGCCCTTCTCTGGACACGCTCCAGGACCTCAACATCTTTCTTGTAGTGAGGGGCCCAAAACTGAACACAGTACTCGAGGTGCAGCCTCACCAGTGCTGAGTAGAGGGGGATGATCACCTCCCTGCTCCTTCTGGCCTCATATGGGGGTGGACGATGCTAAAAATTTAAATAGCCTCCTTCACCTGTATTGTTTTGCTGTTGAAATCTCCTTAAAGACATATTTTGAAGGGGAGAAATGAAAGATGCACTAGAAACAGTGAAGCCAGTGAGACTTTATTCAGTACAGCCTTATGAAATAGGTAACCTACACTTTCTGGGTAAGGGAAGGCTGTACGGCTTTCAGTAGTATTGCTGCTGGTGCTCCATGATATCATTTTCTGGTAGCTGAAGGTACTTTTACTGATCTTCACTGGGAAGTTCAATGATCTATTTCTGAAAAGCGATAAAACAACTAGATAGAAACCAAAGCTTTAAGTGAGCATCTTAGTTGTGCCTAATGGGTCATGAGATTTCCAAAACATTTGAATTGATGTTTCCTATTTTCTGCAAGTGACAGACTGCATTTCAGCATTCCTGCTTGTAATTGTACCATCATGGGAATGTTTGGGGGGAAAAAAAACCACAACAAACAAACAAAAAAACCCCAAACTCTGGAGATCGTCTAGTCTCCAGCTGAAAATTATTATTCCTGACACTAAAACTGGTCTTCTGGATATCTTCCTTTTTTTTTTTTTTGTGAGCTTCAAGGGAGAATCGCAGAAGAATCACAGAAGAGATAAGGGTTGTAGAATTGGTATAGCAAGAGAAGAGTTCTGAACATTTGTGTGAGGTTCTTTGAAATATCTGGTTAACGTTGACTCTTGTTTAAAATCTGAGTTCTTTTTAATATATGAAAGTTTACAATTGATTTTTTTTTTCACAGTATTTCAACATTTGGATGCTTTAGCATAAGATGACATTTCTTTATTCAATCAATGTGAAAAAATTCTTTTTGGAGGCATGTGCAATAATTTTGACTTGCGATGAATGAAATTAAATTAATGAATTTAACTCTTACAGAAAAATGGGTGTGCTAATACTAATTTTATAACACTCATTTCATTTCTGGCAAGGTCCTCTAGGGAAAATCTTTGTAATGCAAAGTAGAAAGGTATATTTGTAGTTTGGACTGTGAAATATTTTGGGATAATTGCTTGTTTTACAAGGTCTTTCTGTTTAAGCTTGGGAAATCTATCAGTCTCTCTGTCTTAGATCCTCAGCAGTTAAATGGAAGAAATGTATTCACTGTTCTACTGTCTTAATACACTGTAAATTACTATATATTTGAAATGGAAAGCATACTACGTACATGAAAATATTTCCACTTAAAATATCAACCATGAAAAGCTGAAGGAAAAGCAGATAACAATTTTGCAATATTAAGATGATTAATCTGAAAGGCTTGT